AGCCCGGTTTCGATCTAGAGCCATCTGTGAAGATAAGCTCCGCACCTCTATAAGTTTTCAATAGGCACCCCCTCCCTATTCTACTTCAAACGTTCTGGTGTTCGTGTTTGCTTGTTGCGTGTGGTCAGCTGTACTCTAAGTCTACGTTTGCCTTGGTGAGGTGCCACGGAGGGAGGTCTGGGAACAGAAATTGTCTTTTTGGAAAAAATCTGCTTTTTGAGGTCTTCAAAGACTCTGAGGCTGAAAGGTTTGAAGAAATTGTTGTTGTTTGTGAATTTGTTTATTGTGCGTGTCTAAGTATGCTCCAAAATACAGTCGTGTGCTGGGTGCTCTGGTGTTGAGCTCTGCTTAGTTGCGTATTGTAGTGAGAGTTGTGTGTGTGTGTCTGAGTGTGAGTGAAGGTATGTTTGCCTCGGCCTGGAGGCTCTCCACTGGAGAAGAGCGGAAAGCCCCCCCGGAAAAATCCCCTTTGAATGAATATGAGCGTGCTTTCTACTCAAGGAGCTTAAAACTAACTGTAAACCACAGAATTCTACACCGTAAACTCCTTGTTTCTGCTCGATGAACCCACTGCTAAACGCACAAGGGTCCTTGCCAGGTAGCAACACGACGTTTCCTGGTACTAGATTCTATTCTTTGATACTAATACTGGTGATACTATTTTTTGATATTAGAGTCTAGTGATACTACTCTTTAATACTAGTGATACTATTCTTTGATACTAGAGTCTAGTGATACTATTCTTTGATACTAGTGATACTATTCTTTGATACTAGTGATACTATTCTTTGATACTAGTGATACTATTCTTTGATACTAGTGGTACTATTTTTTGATACTAGTGATACTATTCTTTGATACTAGTGGTACTATTCTTTGATACTAGTGATACTATTCTTTGATACTAGTGATACTATTTTTTGATACTAGAGATACTATTCTTTGATACTATTCTTTGATACTAGAGATACTATTCTTTGATACTAGTGATACTATTCTTTGATACTAGAGATACTATTCTTTGATACTAGTGATACTATTCTGTGATACTAGTGATACTATTCTTTGAATCTAGAGATACTATTCTTTGATACTAGTGATACTATTCTTTGATACTAGAGATACTATTCTTTGATACTAGAGATACTATTCTTTGATACTAGTGAT